AAGGATAAGACAGGTCCATTTCAGTATAGATGCCCTCCAGAGCAAGATTAGCCAGACTCTGCAGGAACTGGAAACCCTTCTACCCTCTCCAATTTTAGAACAAGTTTGTGGACAAGGCTCAGCGGGCCCAACACTCTAAAGGAAAAGAAAGACAATGCAGGAAATTCCACACCTTGCTTTCAAAAACACTCACTCCTCAGTCTGAATCTACACAACTCAGAGAAGAACACACACCTGAGGACAGTCAGGAAAAATGGGTGAAGAACTTTTCAAACCGGAATCTTACTGAACCTGAAAAGAAAGTATTAGCCAAAGGACTCAATTTTGCCATTGTTCCGCAACAGTTGCCCATAGTGGACCTCATCACAGCCACAGAAACTGCCATACGGATTAACAAATTATCACAGACAGAAGCAGAGCAAATCAGGATGAAAGTCTCAGCCACCCTCTCCAGTGCCAAAGTCCCTCCATCTAACCTCACATTACAAGAAAAGAAGGCTGTTGCTTCCCTGAGCAAAGACCACAACATCACTATATTACCAGCTGATAAGGGAAGGTGTACCGTGGTCCTAAACACAACGGATTACCACACAAAGATCACTGCTCTCTACTCTCTCTCTCTCTTCAAGACCTTGAAAGGGACAAAATCATTGACCGCCTTACATATCACCGCCTTTACCCAGGGGATGCCATACCCTGCATTTACTGACTTCCTAAGATCCACAAGGAAGGTGTCCCACTCAGACCCATTGTCAGTAGCATAAACTCAGCCACTTACAACATCTCGAAACACCTTGCTACCATCCTAGCACCTCTCGTGGGGAACACCCCACATCACATCAAGAACTCCACCGACTTCACCGACAAGGTCCAGAAACTTACCCTGGACCCAGATGAAACCATGGTGTCCTTTGATGTAGTCTCTCTCTTCACTTGCATACCCACCACGGAGGCAGTGGAGACTGTCAGAAAACGACTACAAGAAGACAGCTCCTTAGAAGACAGGACCAACTTCACACCCGATCAGATTTGCACACTGTTAGACCTCTGCCTCACCACTACATATTTCAAATACAACGAGGGTTTCTACAGACAAAAACATGGCTGTGCCTATTGTAGCCTATTGTAGGGGAAACTCCCACTGGGTTTAAATCTGAGACTCTCCACCTTTTGAGCTTAGAACTGAAGAAGCTTCTCGGATGAGAGGTGAAACGTCTTCAAGCACTCAAAGAAGTCCAGACGCTTTTCTTTCCAAGCTTCTTAGACTACGATGACCTGGATGACTGAGAACCTTCACAGACATAAGTATCACAACACACAAAAGTGCGAAAGCACTGATTCTGAAACCAAAATTGGCTTGCTTGCTTTAATCTTAAGCCTTGGATCCGTAATTATTTTCCCTTTCGTGTAATATAGGCACAAGGCTTTTGACTCCATTATCCTGTGAGTATTGCTGGCAGTGCCACTTCTCCTGGGGTGTAAGGGTGGGGGCTAGTGAGGTAAGCCTAGAGCTACTGGGAGTTTGTTACCAAACATGAGTTAGTCATTCATGAAATTAATTGGTGCAGGATCAGCACAGAGAGTGTGCGGCACATGTGGATTTCAGTGTGGCTGTCAGTATCAGCAAGCAGAAGTCTGAAAGCAGTGAGTGTTTTTTTTTCTTTGTGACTGAACAAAAATATGGAGATCCACCCTGCATAGATTGTAATGTTTTGTGACTGTGTGAGTAAATGAATGAGAAACAGAAACCGTCCAGTCTTCTGTCTGTCTTCTTATTGTCAAACTGTGTCATTATCAGTGGATCCCAGTTTGCAATTCAGTTAATTGTGTATGTATTTGCTCTTCTGCATCTCAACAAAATTACATACCCTAACTCATTCACTTATGGACAATCTGAATTATTTACACAATTATTTACTCAACAGTCTACTCCAATTTGTTAGCTGTTGGATTAGCTCAAGCCAGAGAGCCTAAAGTCTAAAGTGGACACGACATGCCCTGGATGGGAGCGTCTGCTGGGCACACAGCGATCCAGATGAGAGGGGAAATGTAATGTGACTGCAGTACTAACGCCAAGGGACACATGGATCGGTGCCAAGGCTGCTCTCTGGACGCTGCTCTGGGCTCAAAAAGAAAACATGCGCCCAGCACCACAATCCTCCACTTGCCTATTTCTCTCCTTATAGTACAATATTGAATCGCTTAGTATCCAAATAGCATCTCTGCTACCCACTTAGCGACCAGACTGAGGAGGTTATTGTGTTGTTATAGTTCATCCTTTGTTGCCTGCAGTGTTGGCAGCGCAGACTGTGGTCTCACTTGGTTAGAGTAAAGATCAGTAACCTTGTGGTGGCTGTGCATGCCAGTCAGAGGTGCTTATCAAAAACTGCCTTTGATTGTGCCTCTAAGATGGCTCACTTTGACTCTCAGTGAGTGGCTTGTAGTATCTCTAAGTTGGTTGAAAAAAAGAAAGAAAAAAAGACAGAGTCAGAGGGAGGGAGGGGACTGAAGAAGAGAGATGAGTTGACTGCACACTTTTCAATCTCCTGTGTCATCTTTTGGCTGTACTCACTCTGAGTGGTTCTCTGTAAATTGTGCTCTCTAAATCCCTAGTCTTGTGAAATCCTAGGTTAAGGAACTAATACTTCTCCCATTTATTCTCACTCTCAATTCTTTCCCCCACCCCCAATCCCACTATCAGTGTTCAGACTAGCTGTGCTATATAGCTGCCAAATGGCCACCTCGACCGAGTGAGTCAGTGCAAGGGGCTTGCAGGAGCAAAGGCCCAGGTAATTCTTCAGTCCATAACCCAGCTAACACCTCTGCAGCTCTTCTGCTGGAGAAGTTATTTGACTGAATGACAGAATGGTTGATATTAAATATAGAATAACAGGTTGGATAGGATGATATATTTCTGTGTTTTCACACAGTGGAAGATTTGATACAACATAATATGTTGTGACACATGGTTGGGCTGCATCGTCCAAACACTAAAGGTGCCATGCTGTCAGCTGTGAATATGATGTAATGCTGCAATGTTATGTGTACAACTGATCAGTCACAACATTTACACCACTGACAGGTGAGGTGTGTAACACTGATTAACTCATTATAATGCAGTGTTTCGCTGGGAAACCATGGATCCCAAAATTCGCATTCACATTACTGTGATACCAGACCAAGCAGAAAAAAAGCCATAGCAACACCACCCCCAACAGCATTGGCCTCACCTAGTGGGACAATATGCCCCACCACATTACAAAGATTACCCTTGAAAGGCTTGAGGACTGCAACAAAGAATCCAAGGCACTGACCCAGCGTTCTAAGTCCCCCGATCCCAATCTAATAGAGCATTCAAAAGAGATGCCAGATATGCCAACCCACAGGATCCAAAAGATCTACTGCC